TATATATATATATCACTGCTCAAGAAGTAAAGATGGACACAAAGATGGGGTGAATTAGTGTGACTCTATGGAACTCAATGATGTTTCACCTGGTTTTGATACTGAAAGACACCCTTTCCAAATATACAGTTGCACTCCAACTGTATTTCTGAGATCACCATGGAGATATGCAGTGGAAGTTAACATGATCATCTTCTCTATGAAACAAATTCCATGTGGAGCCAAGAAGCATATAAGATATCTCTTCTCCAAAAGGATCAGTCTGAATTTTATATACCGATTCTTTATGAAAGATCCAGGCTCAATTAAAGCAGATCAAGAACCCTTTTTGACAAGTTTAAAATAGCCCTTCTAAAAAAAAAAAAAATTTTAAAAAAAATGATGACCATTGATAGAACAGAGCTGAAATCTGCAGGAAAGCAAACTTACTCACTCCCACATGTCCACCTCTACTACCGTGTCATCCTCCAGCATAAGAGAATTCATTCTCCTCGTCCCCTCCAAATTCTACACTACATCCGCTTCATTATTGTGCACAGCACTAAGCCCAGAATAATTAAAATGCAGGCACTTTAATAATATCATTAATTTAATGTAGCCATATTTAACTCTACAAGGGTTCAACTTAATTTACCTCTTAAATAAGGCTTGAATTCTAAAAAGTTATTGGAATATATCAATTAATTGGGAGACTCTGCCAGAAAATTACTTCACTGCTCAAACGTACATCCTCCAAAACTTTCTGTAACTTTGTGCAAGCTTTCTTTAAGGGGATTAGGCTTTGGAGGCTTAGCTACTGCTGGTTTAAAAAAAAAAAAATCCACTACATATTACTAAAACTTGGTAGAAACATTTCGAAAATACCAACAGAAAAGTTGTAGTGGACAAAAACATCCACTAATTCAATAACTGAGCCTCAATTTAGCCTTCTGCCTTAATTTTATTCCATCTGTGTATTTTCGGGTATGGTTTGTTTACTTCTTCCGTTGTGCAGAAACAGCTGCATAATCATTCAACCGAACTGATTGCAAGAAAATTGAGCTGATAACCTTGTTATATAGCATCTGTATTTAATATCTTGTAAATTTATTACAATGGTATTTTTTACATGTAAGAATAAAAGTAAAATGCAAACAACTGGAGTCTTCAGTGTGTGCTAGCAATCATTGCGGGTGGGTAAACTGACAACATGTAACTGCATATTAAGACAAATGTAGAATTTAGACAAAGTATTCCATCTCTTTTCAGATGTATACTTTTAAACCTCAGGAACTGTTTTCAGTAGATGTCATGCCTTTTAACTTGAAAAAAGATAAGCGCAAATAAGCTCCCAATTGTCTCCCCAATATGTAAACCACATCTCGGGCTGCTGTCTCTGTTTCGCCTTTGAAGTTTCCCTGAAATGTCATGTGTTGTGAAGACTGCTGTGCATAAGCAAGACAATTTGCTCACTCTCAGAATTCTTACCGGTTTCCACTGCTATTTGGTATCCAGCCTCTAGTCTCCGAGATGACCTTTCCAGCCTCTCTGTGTTATCGAGCAGATGTGCCCTCTGAAAAAGAAAAGGGGAGAGAGAGGGGGGAAAAAAAAAAAAAAGAAATCAGGCAGCAGCCTACAATGTTCTCCCCTTTTTTAATTGTGCTTTCATATTCCAAAACATAAAAATATCCGCGTATTTTTTCATGGAAGAGCCTGTTATAAGGACCACTGGAAGGGACATGTTCTATGATCAATGGTAATTATGTGTACCAATCATTTTTGTTTTGAAACATGCAATATGTGCTTCACTCTTATTACAATATGGGAGACCTGTCTGAAGAGCATTTCCAAAACAGATTTCCCTATGACACACATATGCAAGCATCCACGATTTCTATTCAACTACAGTTTGAAGAAACCATCACTTTAAATACAAGTGGTAGTTTTTAACATGAACTTAATTTTCAGCAGAGGATATATTTCCTTTATGTGTACTACTCAAGTGAGGTGATAAAAACAACAAGCTATTCATACAGAATACTGAACAGCGTGACTATTCTTCAGACTGTTTGATGTAAAAAGATGTAGAAACAAAACACTGGTTTCTTGATTTACATCTCTTATGCCTAAATATATATATGAATATATAAATAATATGCACACATGCAGGTGTAAAATATTTTTCTCAGTAGTCATTTGCAAGTTATGAGATAAAAATAACCTCTAGTACAAAACATGTCTTCCAATGCATTTTCACCTGGGGAGTCTGCAATAGTGAAATTATTTTCACTAGTTCACACTCCATCCAAAACATCAACATTTCAACATGTAAACTCATTTCCTTTGGAAATTTGATCCTAAACTAGCTCTAATCAAGCCATCAAAAAACAAGCTCCCTCCACACAGTAATCACACACACCTTTCCAAGCACCCCTTAACCCAAACCCAACAATTTGGATACTTGTAAAAAAAAAAAAAAAAAAAAATTCCCACAACTTTGCCTTGTTGACAGATGTCATTTTAAAATGGAAGAAATGCTTTCTAATAATAATAAAAAAAGGAGGTGCCATACATATTATCTGAGTGGCTGTCTACCGAAACGATCTACCTTGCTCTAATGAGCCCCTATGGATCTTGGGAGATGCAAGCTGTATTGACATGCACACTTAAGCTAATACACCTAGACCAGTGCCTCCAAGCTCTAGCAGCCAGGGATGCTGACAGAATATCTCGCTTCTATCTTCAAAGAAAGGAAGTGATTAGTATGTTATCATTACCATTCAAAACGTGATTTCCCTATTCCCTCACGGCATAGGTGACACATCTCTGAGATGCGGCCAGACGATCGAGGCAGCTAAAGCCACATCAAAGCTTGCCTTGAATTTTTTTCTTTTTTTTTTCCCCCTCTCCTTTTCTTTTTTTGGAAATCATTAAAACAATGCATCTAGATCAGCACAGATAGGACCCAATGTGAAGGTCAGGAAAGCTGCAATAACAGTCTATAATAATTAATAGAGTTGTCTAATACACAGTGGATAGGTTAAGAGTAAATTGCAAAAAAGCCTTTTGCATTCATGGGGGGCAGGCCATAAAGAAAAAAAGAGAGATCAGCACAAGCACTTAATAAAATTTAAAACTGTAAGTTATAATGCTGTAATTGAAATCAAGACAGCAACTAGAGTGGTGCATGTTCTTAATATTCATGGTCAATCTAGATAATTAGTGTTAATTTCGCTTATTTTTTTTTTAAAAGGCACCTTTTTCATAACATCTGTTGGTTCCTCTCCATTGCCCATTAGAAGAAAAAAAAAAAAAGCTGTGCATTACCTTTCTCCAAATACTGCCCACCCAAACGATATTAAAGAACAACAAGTGTTAAAAATTTTAAACTTGGAAAAAATCATTAGAAAACTAACACTAATTACATAGATGTCTCCCAGGGAAAAAATAATAGAGGAGAAAAGGGGCCTGGGAGGTGCAGGACATAAGTTTAGAAGGTAAGAATCTTAAATGTTAGAGAGGAGACACTTAAAAAAAAAACACAACAAAACAACAGACTGGGAGTGAGCACAAGGAGCAGAACATCATAATTATAGAATAGATGTATAGTGCTGCAGTGGTATACTGGAAATGAAACGACTAGCCTGTCTGTTAAGGGAGAGGAGGGCAAATAATCAGATTTCATATTACAGTGTGGAAGCGCTACCTAACAGAAAGAACCAGCATTTAACTGTATATTTTCATATACTGTATAAGCCACATTTAATCTAAAAAGTAAATTACAAGCCCACAGTTCAGCTCAGTCATACTGCGAGAATTAGAATACTAAAGCCCTGTGAACTCAGTGCTAACATTAACTCAGAGCTGTTTCTTACTTGATTTCAGAACCTTTCCACCCAAGCCACTCTATAATGAAATCAAATTTTTAATAGAAAGGGTGGTGTTATTTACATTGTTTGGGTTTGGAGGCACCCTGTCCTTTGGTCACGAAATCGATGCCCTCCAGTAGCAGCTGATGCTTTCAACTGTTCCCCACCCTTCCCCAGACTCCTTCTCCCACAGTGTCCCCTGCCCTCTGTGAGGTGGGTAGCGAGGTGATTCAGTGCATCTTGCAGCTTCAGAAACAGCTTCTATCTGGAGTTACAGAGGGAAGTTTTGCAAAGTGGCATGCTATCACTAGAGATTTAGTCATTCCATGTGGGCTGGATTCAAACTGAGATCTCAGGAGCTCAAAAGACAGAGCGACACAGCCTCCGTGGAAGCCTGTGTACAGCAAGTGTGCTAGAATAGAGCCCTGTAATGAGAGGAAGCACAGGTTTTATTAACAAACAGTATGGCAAACCACAATTTCTTTTAAGATCAGTTCATACCTCCTTAGGAGAACTATAATTGGAGATGCCTTGATGTTTCACTGTGTGACAAGTTAAGAATTATGCCTGAGTCACTGTACTAGCCTTCATTTAAACTTTAATGTGCATTTTGCATCGGGTACAAAACCACTATTGCAATTACAACCTATCCAACACATAGCGGGTACCTAAGTGCAGAGAATAGAATGCCAATAATTATTTTTTTAGATTTCTCTACCTGAACAATTTTGATCTAGACAAAATAATAAATCCTTTTATTTAGTTCTATTTGCTGCTGTTCCTACAATGCGCAGAGAGAGGAAAGTGTAACTTTTGAGGCTAGCAAGGAAAAGCAAAAAAGAAAATTACCAGAAGCAAACTCAAAAACTTTTAGGTGCCTAACAAAGGATTTATAAGCTCCAAAAGGTAAGACTGAGTTCAGTACAGCTCCCAAGTTGTAGCCCTTTGCAATAACATCCTGAATATTTTTATTTGCCTTCATAGCTATTTCAAAAAGAAAAGCAGTTAAGTATCAGCTTTGTTCCTTTTATGTATTAAATTTTCAGAGCAAATTTACAAATTAAGAATATTTGTTTATAAAGCTGTAATCTATGTTTGCAAGCAAAAATCATCCTACTACATTCTTTTAGAGAAGCACAGAGGCAGACGTGCAGGTGCTGTTAAAGGGATGCACAAACAAACCTTCTGAAAATCTCAGAAATCAGGCTACACAAACCCTTGCAACAATATTGTCATCTGTTTAAATACAGGGACTACTGGGGAGGGGAGCTCAGCAGTGGTGGGAGGGCTTTCATGTACCTACATGTTTATTTTGTTTAATTTTTTTTGTTAACTGTTTTACTCTGTAGCTTTAACATATTAATATCAGCTCCACAAGAAGAGGGGAAAATAAAGCATTCAGGGAACTAGTGAAAGAATCTTTATATCACAAACATCTTACTGTTTTTAAGAATTCCCTGTAATTGCCCTTAATCTGGTTACTTTACAATTCTTTGTCATCACCATTTCTAAAACTTACAAATCCTTTCCTGCAGAGCTCAGTATTCATTACTGATCTGTCTGGGCACACAGGTTTCAAAAAGAAGATACCAGATAAATATGTGATGTGAAAATGCTTGTGCTTCTAAATATATTTATTCAAATACTTCACTGGTTCAAACTCTCCGTACGAAACCCTTCAGAAATCTGACCTATAAGTAATCTTGACTTTACTGAGACCTTCTTTTTGGTAGCTATTGGGAAATAATAATAATAAAAAAAAAGCAGTTCAGATACCAGCTTTGCTACAGCAGTATGTAACAGAGGAGATTAATTTCAGAAAATATACTGAAACATTTGAGGAACTGACCATTAAAAACAGGCTTCTCTCTCTAAATATTTATGAGTCGTTTTATAACTGGAAGAAAGGTGTTCTGGAATACTGATCTCTAGTGTTACACCTACAGATCTACAGCACTCACAAATAAATAATAAATATTGATATGTGTGCCTAGGTCTATCTGTACTGTATTTTCAGTGGGTATACAATATCCAATACAACACATAAGCTACTTGAATATCTCACACCCAACTCAAAACCTTGTGAAATACTGTGTAACATTTACAGTGTTTCAGCACAGGTTTTTACCAAAGCAATGCTTTCACTTTCAGTACCACTGTATAAATGTATTTAACCTATCAAAGATTTTGTGATGCAAACATGATTATTACTGTACCTGATTTGATCATGGTATTCTAGCAGAGATCAAATAATAGGGTTTTTCTTTTCCCCTTCTTTTTCTTGTGCCTTTAAAAAAATTTCCACTATCAAAGAATGTTAATTTCTAAGGCTTGATCTAGAGATTCCTATGTAAGTATACAATTATTAGGGAAAAAGAGGCACAACAGTGAATATTTTAAAGCAGTGTAATCAATATTTCTGCTTTGTTTAGATTTCCCTGCAACAATGAACAAAAAGATCTACTTCAGATTTAGAAACTCAGCTTTAAAGGGAAAGCTAGACAACAAAAAGCAAGAAAGTACTCACCTCTTCACGTAATTTTATCAACTGCAACATGAACGCACAAAAAAGATAAAAAGGAAAGAAATGGCAGGAAAGAAAGATCAGTTGTGTGACAGGATACAGAATTAACATTGACAATTTATCTGTTTACATGTTTAGCATTTAAAAATCACAGACAAACACATTAAAAGAACCTAAACATAGACTACATGCAGAGTTTTTTGAACGAATAAAGATCACTTTCTCACACTGTCACATTAAACAAAGAGAATAGTGTGAAATTCTCTTTTAAACCACATCTAAGACACCATCATGAAATAAAGGGGAATGACTTCATAGAAGTCTATATTATAAAGAAAAAAAACAAGTTTACTATTCCTCTCTTCGAAGACTGTACAGCTGAAGTGGTTTTGTATATACAAGTTTTCAGAATGTTTTCTGTATATTTTAGTTGTGACAACTGATTTCTTATTTTACCAGCAGATCTAACTTATTAATAGATGACTGCATCTTTACAGCATGTAACCAGTATTTCAATTTTTATATACCTGAATTCTAATGTAACTGTATTACCTAATTCTATTATTGAATCTCACACAGAGGTTTTTTTCCCAGTTTAAAAAAAATATTAATGAAGCAGCTTAGTTAAACGTCTCAGAAGTATGATTTATTGTATAGCACATTTAAAAATAGACAAAAGAAGGGAACAACACAAAACGTATTTCTCTCAAAAAAGACCCATTCCAGATTCTTAATCCTAGACCATCACACAGTGTGTGCCTGCATACACACATAGTGTGTGTGTATACTTATATAGAATATACGTTTATATTTAACAATTTATACTCGTAAATCAACACACTCTAACACTATGAATAATATTGCTCTGGTAGGTTTACTATAAAACTAAATAAACCCCCAGTCTGATTATCAAGCTATGTTGTAATATGCTCTCCCCTTAGAGAGACAGATAAATTATTTGTACTGGAACAAAACGTATAATTACTCACAACAAATGTCTGCGTAAGAGTGGCTCTTTATAAAAAATTACAGATCTCTCACCGATTCCAGTTGAACTCAAAATTACAACAGCTACATCATTATCTCAGTTTATGCTGCTACTTCACTTACAGTTTCACAACACTAATTTTCAACACGTATGTAAGCTGAGAATGTTTACTACTAATCAAGTCTCGCCAGCATGAAGGAAACAAAAGAACCTCCATAGGGCTCCTCTAAAACGGAAGGTATGCTTCACCCCGCTCCCACAGTGGGCAACGAGGCTGGAAGGAGGTGTAATTAGGAGGGCTACTACCACACGGACTTAAACTGAAACGGCTCTTCAGTGCGCAGCGAAAGGAACTTTGCTAGAATTTGCTATAAAGAAAACGGCATTGTCCGCCAAACCGGCGCTTAAATTCAAGTGCTTGGCCTATCATAAATTGGTCTCTTTCTCCAGATCTTCCCCCCCTTTCTTCCCCCAAAAGGCAAACATTAGGGCTCTTTAGAAAGAGACGATCTGGGAGTTGATCACATAGCTATCTTTTCTTTCTTAGGCCACCATTCTTCAGTTGACTATGATACTTAAAGGGCCAAAGTTTAAAACTACTCTCCCCCAATAGAGCCTGTTTGGGCATGCCACCCTGCTATAATCAAGGAGAGTTTTAAAATGCTGCACATTTGTTTTTTCAATAGATCCCAAACAAAAATGTTCTATCTTGTTTGTGCTGCATGGCTGAATTTAAGCTCTGCATGGGATTTTCAGCTAAGCTAAGTAACGGGAGAGGTTTTTTTCTATACAGTGGCTGAAAGATATTCATTCAAATTAACAAAAGATGTATTTTTTTCCCCCATTTAACAATGCTCTTGACAAAAATGTGTTACCTTTTGTTTTCTATTTTGAAACGTTATTTTTCCTATGCTCACTGCTCAACTGTAAACAGCGCTAAGCCGCGTGCAGCCACCATTTTAGGTTATGATAATCAGCATATTTTGGAAACAAAGATTTTTTTTTTTTTTTGCAATACAGAATTTGATACAAGAGGTAATCTGTTCCTTTGTGGGCTGAAAAAAAAAAATCTGGTTTACGCTGGTTTGAACCAGTGGAATCTCTTGTGGCTAAGCCTTCTGCTGTGACTAAAATCAAAAGTGAGCCGCGGAGAGCGAGGGAGCGAGATGGGGTGTGCGTGTGTGTCTGTGTGTGTGTGTCTGTGAGGCAGGTCACGTGACGCAGAAAACTGCCCAATTTTTTTTTAAAAAGCTGATAACGCTACCGCCGTCTCTGTCCGCATATAGATAACGAATAAATGCTGAACTCTATTAAACGCCCTTTACACATTATCGTGGGTCGAACACACAATTTTCTGAACTTATGATGACAGTCTATTTATTTTGCTATAAACCCTCGGCATGTAACGAACAGATTTGTGTCTGGTAATGATCTGCTCTGCCAGGGCTATATGAAATGATACCGACCTTCTTTAGATCTTGGGGAATTAAATTGACCAACTTCACCCCCTGGTCTGTAGCTGAAGTTTGACACACTTTATGCACAGCAAGCCCAAATCTAATATTATCACAACTTTGTAGTCAGAAATTAAGTAGCCACAAAATATTTGTTCACCACAAATCACATATACAATGTGTGTGTATACAGACACGCAGTTTAACCTCATGCAAATTTATTTAAACTTATTAATGAACAGAGTTGCGCAAGAGAAAGGGACACGACTGCATTTCAATAAAGTTGGTAATATTGTACCTGATGCTATTTTTGTTGAGAAGGATTTCTCCTTTAACCCAACATGTACTTTCTAAAAAAACATATGAATTGCCACATAAAACAGTTCTATGATTACTGAAGTGAAGCCACAACTTTAAGTAGTGTATCTCTGCACCGAAAAACTCAAAACTTTCAAAGGGATTTGATAAATGTTGGTGGCCAGAATAACAAATAAGGCTTGAAAGCAACAGAACCCATTTAAGACCACTCATGGAAAATAAATAACAAACCAATGCACACAGTAGGTTTTTGGGTTTGGGGCTGTTCCCCAAACAGGGACATCTCCTAATTCTCAACCTCTGTATGTGTGTCATCTGACTACTCTCGCACAATTCAAATAAAGAAACAAACTTATACTAAGCAATGACTTCTCTAAACTCCAATGAATTCAGAGCACTATGCCACTACCTATCTCATCAAACAAAGATGCATTTATTTAAAAAGAAACTGAATAGCAGAATTGGATAACTCTTATAACTTCTAACAAGAAGTTTCTATAAGCTTTATCTGGTAAAATTAGTTAAATCTTGGTATAAGCATCGTAAGATAACTGTATTCTAACTTGTTAACTACACGTGATGACTGCCACTTATGGGAATAATTTTAGAAAAATGAAGAGGATTAAATATAAATCATCATTGCTAATTCTTCAATCTGTTCTTTGTACTTTATGCGTTAGAGTACAACTGGAAACTCATAGCCATGACTATTCATTACAGCTTATTACTCGGCTGTAGTTTGCTGTAATTGTACCTTTGAAACTCAGCTAAAAAAAACCCAAGAAATTGAATAAAATATCCAAACTGTTTATTTTTCTATTACTGCTCCATTTATTTCTAGATGTTTAATATGGTCATGCTAGCCAGTACACATGAAGTTCCTTTTGTCTTCTCCCTCTACCAAAACCATTATGCAGATTATGCAAATGTTTATTATGATGACAAAGACCATACCTAAAACGTGTATCTGATCTCTCATTTCCCTGGGGTAATACGCCAATCTAACCAGATATTCAGCACTTCTGTTGGTAGATTTTACCAATATTTGTGGATTGGTACAGAAGCAATTCAGAGATGGCAACAATTTTCAACAATTCCTCTGTCAGAAGAGGAATCCCTTCTCTCCTCTCCCTCTTCAGTTTGGTGACTGAATTGGGGAAAACAAACCCACCATTTTTTGGTTTAACTAATTTAACCTAATCCAGACTGATTGAGAAATAAAAGGCTTTCAAATATAAGGGTCAGTCCATTTGCCTAAATTTATTTCCATTGGACAATATGAAAGCAAGGATTTGAAACAACTTCAAATATTTTATATGTCTGTAAGCTACACATGACCATCATTTCACCATATATTTCAGTTTTCTATTAACATCATAATGTATAAGAGTGAAGGTGTATTAGACACTGGGTTACTGAGTTAAATACATTTAAATAACATGTTCAATATATGGTAAGTACCCAAACCTTACACCTGATCAGGGTAGCTGTACATTCTGATAAGCTTAATATCACACTGAAGTTTTTGTACTAACTCCTTGTAGCCAAAACTACGTAAGCACTAATACAAATAATGGTATTTCATAAGAAAAAGAGACTGTGAGACTGATTATTGGAACACCGCAAGTAATACTTGAAAAAAAAAAAAAAAAACAAACATACTGGCATTCACATACTTAAAAGAAGTTAGGTCACTCCTTTATGGTGATATTTCTTAACATTTTTCACGGAAGAAATTCAGAACTTTAAAAAGTATAAGGGCAACAATTTCAAGTTGAATTATAAAAAGGGATTTTGATTAACTAAAAGACTACACAAAATTCCTCTTTTAGGCAAAAGGCAAAATTTTCTTCCACTTAGTAAGTGGTCATTCAGAAGGAAAAAACCCGCATGTTAACAAATGGTTGAAAATATAATTTGATTCCTTGAGCTGAGACCATGTTTCTTCCATCAAGCTTAGAAAAAAAAGCCAGTAACTCTTAAAAGTGGACATGTGAATCAGTTATTTAACCATTCCTTAAAAAGTGAAAATAAAATATTTTATCTCATCTCTACATATAAGATATTCTGTTATAAGTAAAGCTTCTTATCACAATTGCCCTTTTATGTCTGAATTCACACAATTTTTTCTTGAAATGCAAAAATAGCAGCACCTTAAAAGAAATAAGTGAGAATCTTAACACTTTCACAGGACAGAGTTCATGATCATGACATGTGGACTGTGAAACTCTTTTCCCTAAAATCATCTTTTCCGTAAATTCACTATTTAGGGATAAAATCCCTTTATTTTTATTCAAATGTTGGAATCTCCCCTTGCTATAACATATAAGTACAAAGATTAATATCTTATGTTTTACTCTTCTTGTAGATATGAAAGCTGCTATAAACTATACATCTACAGATAAATTGTATGCTGTGTATAATTTCATTAATGTATGCATTAAAGTCTATTACAGAGTTTAAAACTTACACAGCATGTTTAAAATACTGTATAAGGTTAGGGCTTAAGGGGTCTGTGTTTTAAATTTCATTGTACTGAGATAAGTCTCCAAGTTTTTCTTTTCTTCTATCCTTTGTGGAATTGAGATTATTTTCAGGGTAAAAGCTACTAAAAATTTCAGAACACGGTTCTGATTAATTTCCTTATTTAATATTGTATTTATCAAGCAAACATTTAAACAATTTTCACTTTCACTACCAAAATATTTTAAATTATAGCTGATCATATGAGAAAATCTGATATTTAAGAATACTTACAACTAGCTTCTAACTCAAAATGTATAGCCTTGATTAGAGCTGACTGGGTTTTCAAAGAGAAAAGAAACATTCTGCTTTCAAACAGAACTTGTGAAACAAGTTTCAGCACTAAAAGAAACATTAACAGGTGGGCTAAAGTCCCCTCAATATAATGTTGCCATTATGATTTTCAGTAGTGTAGCAGGATCCTGGCTGTAGTGTCCAGAACAACAATATGTGTACAAGAATTTTAAAAAAGCCTCAGGATTATCAAACTTCCCTTCATTAAAAGAGATGGATTGCACTCCACATTCTAATACAACACACATTTTGAAAGCATGCTCTTATTAGTACAACTTATGTTTTTGGTACAAGGAGAGAAAATCTGTTTAGGGAAGGAGTCACACAAGGAAACTGAGTGGGGTACTGCCTAATTCTGAGAGTGTACTTTCATTTGTTTTGCCTGCCAGTGTTGATTTAATTATACTGCATTATTATCAAAGCTGCATTATGTACTATTTTATTCCTTTTACATGTGTTTGAGGTGAAGACCTTGGCTTTGTCGGCAAACAACGCGTTTCAAGTTATTTCTTAAGTACTAAATAATAAAGAAAAGAGAAGAAAAGATTTTTTTTAAGATAGCAGACAGTGATCACAAGTTAAAGGGTTAAATGTAAGATCTCCAAGAAACATTTTGAAGTTGATTAAGACCCCGGCTTTGCATTAAACAGTATCACTTCCACATGAGTTGTTGCTAATGCTGTTAAGGAGCAGCTTGAGAAGCCCAGTGTGCCAGTGACCTCCTTCACCCTCCAGCCACCCACTAGGGCTTCTTGATTAGCATCCTACCTGGTTCTCTGAGGAATTCCCGTCATCCCCCAGGAGCTCATTCCGCACCTCATCACTGTAGGCAATTCGTGACCTTTTCTGTAAAACAAAAAGAAAAAAGGGTTAGGAAGTAAAGCTCCGAAGCCATTGGTATCAAGGCTGATCATCTTAAACCTCGAGAGCCCCCTAATGGATACCTATTTGATAAAAAAAAAAAAAATAATCTGCAAGTAAAAGTTATTAAAAAGTTCTTCAGCTGCTGTATTTTGACAAATCTGCATGACAAAAACTTAGCACTTCTAAGACAGTTACATCCTCAGCATTTCAGCAATGAAAGCAGCCTCAATGAAGCTCAAGATACATAACGTGTGATCCCAGTTCTGAGAGTAGTCATGTTACTGGGAGAGGCAACATAATACCAGAAACCTTGATGAAATGCATGCACAGGAACCAAATGCATTTTTCTGAAGAACATCGCCAGCTGGATGCAGAACGCAGCATAACACCACGGCGATGCCATTAAATAGGAAGGGAATACTGAACTTTTCCTATATCAAAAAAACAACTCAAACCCTGAACAACACACATATAATAAAAATGGTCAAACATAAAGATGTAGAAAATTAACAAATGTTTTCTATGCTGCTAAGGCTATGAAGGCCTACTGTGAAAGGACCAGAAATCAAAGTGCAAAAGAACGGAGAGAAAACTACAGTTCAAGGAAACACCACAAAACTGAGTCATTCATTAGATCAGATGTTATTCACAGCTCATGAGCACCAGATTTGCTCATAAACTGCTCATCATATTGATTCAAAACTAGATCAAGTGATAAGCAATGAAAAGCAGATGCCTGAAGATTACTAAGATAGGATAGCTTTCAATAGAGCAATGGGCAAGTCCACCAGCCCAGCATCCGATTTCTCTGTTAGCCAATTAACAGGTCATTAGTCAAGTTAATATTCCTACACTTACCATTAAAAAAGAGAAAGGATTTTTAATGTATTGTCTAAAATATTTTTATATTTGAGTGTGGTTATCACCAGTTTCACACTTCACCAGAAGAAGAAACCCAAGAATTGGAAGAACCAAGCTGTAGGGCCTTCCTTTACAGATGGCAGCTTCCTTCCCACTCAGCCGTGTTAGTCACTACCAGTAGAAACTCACCAAAACCAAATCACTCAACACAAACCTTCCTTATTTGGACAATCACACAAAAAAAATGTGCCTTGGACTGAAGCACAGGAAACAACCCACTGGAAATGGTACTGAGCACAGGGAACTTCATTACCTTTGTGACAAAGAATCTTGAAAGTGGGTCACACCTTAAGCTAGGAACCTAGCAGTGTAATGAGCTTTGTATTGCTCATCTCAGAGCAACACGTTTTAGCTTTTTATCCTGTGTAGTTCACCCTTTATTATGATCATCCTTGTTACAATGCTTACCAATTTGGGATTCAGTTGCTTGTGTTCAGATCTAGATTATAAACTAAAGCTACAAATGTACATAGCAAGGACAAAGCATACCGTGGATCTACTACAAGAGCTGAATTGTGCCAAATCTTTTGGAGATCTCAGCTGTCACAGTTTCATACTAACCAAGCTAAAAGTAGTCTACAGCATTAAAGGAAATGAGAACCTTTAAACAGGCTGTGGTATCAGAGCTGCCTGTTTAAATTATTCATTTCATCACTATGGGGGACTAAAACACTCCACAGTATGCAAGAATATCATATGGAGATAGGTTTTGTTTTTCTCTTTTTTCACCAAAAAGCCAACAAATTGGCATAGATTGCTCAGTTATATTATTTTCCTATTTTTATTTGATACACATCAAATAAGGAAGGAAATTACAAACATATACCAATAAATATCTCATCTTCTTTTCTGATAAAGATTCAATCTTACCATTTGAGGTCTAGTAGTTCAACTGCACAATCTCTCCCAGTTGCACAAAATTACTCAGCCCCATTGATTGTTAGCCTTGAATGTATTTATCATTATTAGACTAAGATGAGGAGCATGATGCTTCATGAGCTTGTTCTCCAGTGAACAAGTTGCCTAATTATATGTAGAGACTAAGATGGTCCTTGGTTACACATCATTTATTTGAAAGATTTAACTGGCTGATATTCTCATTCATAAGAGCTTGCATGGAAGAAAGGAAAAACAGTATTCTTCACAGGAAAGGAAGAAATCTTAATAGCAGTACAATTTTTACAGGCCCTTTGTAATCCTTTATATCATCACTACTGAACTTAATAAAAATATTCATATGATTGTTCTTTAATTGCGATCATGTTATGATCTGAAAAATCAGCAATTATAATAAAAGAAATAACCCTTTGACAACAATTAGGTATAACGCTTTGCCATAATCAATAAATAATTTGATACTACTTTTGATCACAGTTTCAGTACCAAATGAATCAATAATATAAAAGGAAAGGCCTTTGAACAAAAGTGTTCGTTTGTTCTTTCAGGACTTGTCCAAAATATCAATATCTCAAATTACTATTCTTATTTTTATTACAGTAATATTGGCTAATACTTTTAAATGTGACTATCAAAATCAGTTCAGTTCATCTGAACTCAGTAATTAAACCATTTTTAGATTTTTTTTTTTTTAGCTCATAACCATCAGCTGTTTATAAATATGTACTTTAGCCAAATGCAAGAACGATAGTTTGAGCTGGAAATGTCACACAGACTGCTACAGTTTGAAGGAACCCAATTCATAATGCATTTTATAAATAGTTAATGACTTCTATACATAAGCTAACCAGGCAAATCAAGAAATTGTCAACATTTTTAGTCTTAGTTGTCAGTTACCACTGTCTACTGGTACTTTATATGTATGTTTCTAGAAAAGACAGAAGCTTTACAGAGTTTGTAATCCAAGGCACTTCTGGGCAGCTCAATATAGGTTTAAGAGGTTCTATGTGCAGTTTTTTTGTCTGTAAAGGTCTGCCATATACAGAAGTTTTCCTTGTATTTTTTATTTTCTTTTACACACATACAAAAAGTCTAAGCACACAAGTGTTTTTAACTCAGTGTATGTGTTTCCACTCTAACGCAGCATCCTAATGAATGCACAATGACACAAAAGGGTTAAGCTACTTTCTACAAGAACTTCAAGAAAAAGAAAGTTTCAGGGGCTGTTTTAAATGTAGTACAGTACCCAGACCTTCTGACAAGGAAGAATTTCTGATTCCAGGCAGATCTCTCTTGGTTTATGAACAGGATTTTTGCATACTGATTGGGTGATTTCCTTAAAGCCCTGTTCAAACAGATACACTTGCTCAGTTCTGTCTGGCAATTTGGCTTTAAACAATCTGTCTACTTGACCCAAGCCTTAACATTTCCCAATAGAACTGAATGTGTTCATAGGCAAGCCCAGTTAAATTAGAATTGAAATGAATTAACTCAGCTTAAACTAATTAAGATCTGTGATCTGCAGTACCACCCCCCTGTATGATTCTACATGTGAAGCAGGGTACATGTAACCAGACTGTAAGAATTCTGCTATACTACTAATCTGAGCATACCAATGAAGTTCGTCTATTACTAAAGCATACGAGAAGTTAATTTCCATGGCCTACACATGGCAAAGCAATTGCTTAAATTGCCTCACCTGGGAATTTAATACAATGTTATCATCAGACCAGCCACACTGTAAATAGATTTATAATGCTTTCCATGTGCTAGGCTAGGTTGCTTATGAATTAAGTAATGATCTGGTATTACAATACAATCAGCTAGTTCCCACACCTGGCAGACAGGATATTTTGCTAAATTACTACCTATACAGATACATCACAACATAAAAACAGAAAAGGCATTGGGAAGAGACACAATCTACATGGCGTATGACTGATTTTTTGCATGGTAACCAAATAAGATGTAGATAGAGGTACCCAAAATAATCTTTTTTTCCAACATCTGCACAACAGAACACATACTTATTCATTTCTATTCCATTTTCGCCTAATTTTCCGCATTCTATACTTTAATTACCATCCACATTCTGAAACGTTCCCATTAGTGAAGGCCATACCTAGCCAATGCCCCCTCACTCCAACACACTTTCAGCAATCAGTCAAATAATTGATATGAAGTATCACACTTTTTCATACCTGAACTAAAGAATGGCTTTCCCCCTCCTAAATGCCAAGCAGCCCCCTGAACAGACAAGCAAAACTAGGTGTTCTTTCAGACAAAAGGCCCAGCAAATCCTTTCATCCTAAATTCCCCGTTTTTCAGGCTCAACGTTTTAAGAACAGATTAAACAGATCGGAGTTTTGGTGAAAGCTGTGTAAACAAACAGCAAGGTTTATTTATCCACAAACATCTGTTTTCATACAAAATTCATTAGGATTTCCTACTATATACAAATTGTTTTAAAAAAGCATCTTCAGGAATTTGTTTCAGCATTTGGCCCTAAAAGATGTAAAAAAATACTTCACTAGAAATAATTTGTAGGAATAAAATAGATTTTGTGTTCTTTGACAGTGGTCAGTTTTGCCATTGCTCTGGGTAAAACCAAGGTGAAATATGTGACTTGATCCTCAAATGGACTGCTAAATATTGTAGAAAGTATACTTTCATTTCTGTCTTTTGGAACAGCTACTTAAGTATGTTTTAATGAGCACAAATGGAAAAGATAGTTGAACAAATTTAGAAGAAAAATAAGTGACCCTACCGAATCTTAAAGCTTATATTTAAACAGAAATACAAAACCACTTCTTCAGGAAATAAAGTAATCGAAATTGCTTAAGAAGTTATGTTAAAAATTCAGTTTCCAAAACTTGCACCTTTCTCTGTAAAAATGATCCAGGAACAATAGGCTAGACACTTCAAAATTCACAAGGGGTTGCCCTGTTCCTAAGTAACTTTGTTTTCATGGATTATGTGTAAGAGGCAGGAAAACAATTACATTGTACTAACACACAACCTGATGCAATGCTTGACTTTCAAGCTCTTCCTTATGAAAATAAAAAAAAAAAAAAAAAAAAAGATACATTTCTGTCCAAAAGGAAACAAAAACTATCCTATAACTCCAATGAAACTTTTGATTGAAAGAATCAATTCAACAGTAT